ACATTTGACATGTTTTGATGCCAAAATCCTCTTGAAGTGTCCCCCGACCCCTGTCCATCAGCACATCAGTATTCACCATGTCTTACAACCATTCTTCTGCAGCGTTGTATGAACTAAACTGATTTTTTTCACAAAGACAGAAAATGTCCAGACTGTCCCATGTCAAAATATTAATGATTAAACCAACTATTTGAATTTTTACAAGGTTATTGCAGTTTTTCTTCACATACAGTGCGCTTGTGATGGGCTCTGAGGGGACTTGTGTCTTTGATCAGCTCTCTACACAGGGTTAAGATGTGACAAACATAACCTGGAGTTCTGAAGAGAGGAAGGAGGACAGGATGAATAAGGCATCTCACGGATCTCTTTGGTCGTCTCAAACTAATTCTCACTCTCTTTTCTTTTTGCAATCTATATCTCCTACTCTGCCCTTTTTTGTCTCTCCTTTTTGAGAACGCAAAGCATCTTGATGACTTTAAAATCAAAATACTTATAAACTGTCAAATTTCTATTAAACATGTTGTCCTACTTTCTTCTTGATGATTACAAATGTTCTCTGTAACTGTCTTTTTGCCTCATCACTCAGGCTCCTCTGTCATATCCAGGTCCACATGGATTTTTTTTTATCTGCACTGATTTTTATACTTTTTTTAGAGTACTTCTGTAGAATTAGCAAACAGATATCAAAAATGTTTTAAATTAAGCTTAGGGGACTGACTACACACTTACTGATAGCTGAAGGCATTATCAGATTAGTCAAAGTGTTTAATAAATGAACACAAGGGGTGTATGAAGACTTGTGAGAGTCGAAATACAGCGCATGAGTCATGTGGACCAATTTATGTTACTTTGATGGTGCTTTTCTGATGTAAAAATATCTTAGACCAGCCTAAGCTGGTTTGCTGGTCTTATAGTCTCCCAGCCTAGTCAAACTATAGTCTGATGGATGGTTTTAAAAGGGTTTTCAGCTTCAGCAATGCATCAAAAGACAATAGAACCCATTAATATTAGTGATCATGCTTATATTTGTGATGTACTCCAAGTGTTCACACTACTTCTGACATGAGAAAATTAAATTAAGTAAATTGTCAATGGACATGTTGTTAGACACATTGTTAGTCCTTATTCATTGTAATTGCATGGAAAAGAGTGGCCAGTATAGAGTTCAGAACACTTTATTTTGTGTTTGACAGAAGAAAGTCATTCATACAGATTTGGAGTGATATGGGGGCAAGTGATGACAGAATTTCCATTTTTGGGTGGATAATGAGAGAGGCGAAAGGCTGAAAAGAGATAAGATGACCTGTGTGAAAGTCAGTTGTGTGTGCTCTGACTTGCATTGGGAGGTTGCTTCATTTGTAGGAATGAATATGAGGGTGATGATATTAAATCTGAATAACCCCCCCCTCAACTTAATATGTATCCAGAGTCAGAAACTGTACATGGATTTCCTTTGGCTCTCAGTATGGAAGATAAAATGTGACCCTGGA